TGGGGGCTTGGGGGTGGCGGCGGCTCAAGCTTGCTTTAAAGGTTGTATTGGAACAAATACAAAGGTTGAAGGAGGGATTTGTTGGTAGGAGCCTGGAAGGCCGCTACATAGGCTCTTGAGGCTGCTTAATGGGGCCCTCATGGTCTCTTGAGGACCCGGGGACAATGCTATAACTCTTTCAGGATGGATTTTGCACCTGCTAAACACAAAACTACATTTTTGTTTGTGGGCAGACAAATCCATCATTTCCCTTCATACAGAATTACTTTCATTATATAATTAGAGCAAACGAAAAAACGAAGAGAGAAAATTCTGTGCTGGTTTTATGGGTGAATATGTGACTGTTCCAAAGTCTAAAGTGGACGTCTTTCATCACCATGACACATCATCTGTAATGACTGTGAGCCACAGAACATCTAGGACAGCAAACGTGCTGCTCTTCATAAGATCTATATTAGGATAAAAGATTATTATTGACATTATGATTACAAAAGAGGGGAAACACTGAAATACTCTATTCTAGACATGTTAAATAAAAGATTTTAAGTAGTAAAATTTACTTCGATATCGAAATAACTGGATCATTCAGAGGCTTGGAGTTCAGTTACTGATGGATTCATTAGTGAACAGTATCTGTAGCAGGGGTAATGTATTGTTTTGTACATACAACAGCAATGTGTCATTTTCTATGTTAGCTGATGTAACTCTGGGTTAATGACGCTGACGTTAGCTTCAGTAAAGGGGAAAGTTAAGGGAAAGTTGCTGAGCGACCAATCCTCCGTTTATCGCTACTGTTAGGAACATGTGTCAAACATTTAAGGTACAACTGGAACACTGTCTGACCCCTTAATTTGTTTGTGAAAATGCAAAAAAGGGACATTTAACAGTTTTTTTCTGTCTCTAGACACATTAGACCAGGTCCAGATCAAAACCCACTACACTTGTCAAATCTGGACTAGATCATAGAGAGGCTAAAGACTCTTTAAAACACAGTTTCTGATTTGTCAAACCTTTATTCTATTTGTGAAAATGCAAAAAGGTGCATTTTCTTTTTGATGTGAACTCTTCTAAAACAGCAAATCTAAAGCTGTGAAACAACAACTTTAGGCTATTTGAATATTTCTATTTTCAAATAACAGTCCAAACACAAGCAGTGAGTGAAGTGTGAATGCCTCCGACTCACAGAGCTGAGGCCGGTTCACAGTCTTACCCTCAGTCTGAGTCTTCAGTCCTCCATAGTTAGGTTTCTTGCTGCTCTGATGCGTCTTCACGAGGAAAGACCGCGGCATGTTGTCGCCCTCTTCCCGGGATTCGGCGTGTGGGGTGACGGTGGTCTACAGCGGCCAGTAAACGGAAGCAACTTTCGGCGGTGGTGTGAGTGTGTGTGTCCGATTGAGGCCTCGCGCTCGTGCGGACTGGGGAGACTGTCAGGTGTGTTAGCCGGGGGGTCGCGCGGGGGAATTTCCATACACACCAGTGTCGAACCAATTATAATGAAAGGACAAGTGCAGGGGGCGGGCTCTGTGTGTCAATCAGCACACCCCAACAAAACAGGTGTATGAATGGTGACTATAGAGGCACGGAAACACTTCACACTGCTTCACATTGCTGGAGCTGGAGTTTCACACACACACACACATACACACACACTGGCAGTTTCCCTTCATGGAAGAGAACACACACACACACACACACACACACACACACACACACACACACACACACACAGCTTTTGTCTTTATAATCTATGAAAACACTTTGGTCTGCACAGACCAGCACAGCAGCTGATGAGCCTGGTCAATCTCATTCAAAGACATAACAGACTCAGAAAGAGACAAAGATACAAAAATACAGCTCAGAGCAACGATCAGATGAGAGAATATCGAGAGACATTTGATTTGATATGACAGATTTGATCATAAAGCAGTGACAGGCCTCTGGTTTCCTGATCTGCTGTTAATGCAAACTCAACATCTCCTTTATGTTGTCTTGATAACTTCAACATAATGTACATTTTCACAGCATTAATTCCAGATACTGGTAAATATCAGTCAGTTAAACTTTTCCTATAAGTAAAAGGCTGCAGGTAATGTTCAGGTTGTATGAATGACAGAAGAGCAAAGTAGAAGCAACTGGAATCAGGTAACTCAGAGCAGCAGGGCGGAGAGACTGTCTCTGCTCCTCTACTGATGGACCAGTGCTGTGTGAATGGACATTACTGAAAGTACCATGTGAGCTGTTACAAAGTGGTGAAAGGTAACACACTGTTCATGATTTAAATGAAGTAGTTCTCAGCCAATTAAGGACCAGTGTGTAGTTTGGGCCCTTTGTGTCAGATGTCTCTGAGTTGTCAGCAGCTCCACCAAAGACATCCCCCGTCTGCTGATGCATATACTGACATTAGTAACTACACTTTCCATGACAGCTACATAGGATATCTGTATCTGTCTATATGTATTTATTACCTTTGCTCTATGATCAGGACACTCATCAGCCTGTTGCTCCACGGCTGGATTTGTAGAAGCACATGTTGTCAGAGAGGACGCAGTGAAAATACTGTCAAAGTAAAAGTCCATCATTTCCATCATCACAAAATCAGTCTTTAATTGTGACTTGTTCAGTGCTGTTGAAGTTTGTCACTCAAAAATGTAAATTGAGTACATATGAGGAAATAAAGCAATGTTAATTCTGTTCTTAATTAATTTTTTTCTCTTACAAAATAACAAAAAGTACAAATTAGAGTACCATTAGAAAATCAGATTGATAAGCAGTATGGATAAAATACCATTAAAATCTTAATGATACCTAATACCTATCCCTAAACGTAGGAGTGCATCATCTTTAGCAGTTTGCCAGGTCAGAGACTTTCTATATACAGTCAGGCGAGATCATGCCCTCTTAGCTGCTGTCCCACACTCAGATATCTTTAACTTATATTGTGTATAACTGGAAAAACTACAGCAAAACTCTTTTTGTTTTGAAATCAGTTTTATTTTCTGTTTTTTCAAAAGTTCTAGAAATGTGTGGTGTTTCTTGAGTCAGTGCATAATTGTGTTAAACAATCGTGATCTCGATATTGATGAAAATAATCGTGATTATGATTTTTGCCCGAATCAAGCAGGCCTATCTTACTGTGTATAAAAGTAGCCGCACCTGCACCAGCTACAACAGTAAACTGCTGCTGAAGCAGTGATGCATCAGTATGAACACTTTTACGTCTTATAGATATTGTATCAGTCTCAGGCAGCAGTTTTCTGAGGAAAGAGGACTGATTGATATTTCTGTTGTTTCTGTTGTGTGACTGCAGTGAATTTTGAATGCAAGACTTTAGCTTGTAATGGAATTTTTTAAATTGTGGCAATGTGAGTACTTCTAATTCCACCCTCCTAATTCCACCCTCCTCAGTGTTTCTACCCAGTCTTTATTAGAAACAAGCCTGTGTTTGTTAATGCTGGATCAACCATTTAAATTGGTCATTTACTTCAACTCACCGGAAGAACCTTTACTTTAGACAAGACTTTTATTTCCTGTTCCCCATTTCATCTGTATATTTCATTATATTTCAGTGCCATGTTAAGTCTCCTGTTACCACAAACTCACCAAACACTGCCCATGTGATGTCATTACAATTTTTAATGTTATATTATTGGTGAGTAATCATAAGTATTTACATGCATTCAGAATTGAATTCCACACTGACAAAAATAAATAATCATGACTTCGGTTTTCATTTGAAGAAAACACTGTCACTACAGAGTTTTTATTAGGGCTATTGGCCAATATGCTTGTAGGAAATATAAATGATTCCTGACCTTAGTCTTAAATTGAAACTGTGAACATTGATGTACAGCTGTGGTTAGAGGTCAGGTGATAACTTAAAGATCTTCACAGCTGATCTTAGGTCAATATGAGCATCATCAACACACTGATGATGCTCATGGATCCATTCAAAGTTTCTTGTAACTTTACAAGCAAAAAAAACGCATCTAGCTTTCTAAGTACATTAAGAGATGGACAAATGCGATTTGACGTTACAGGAACTTAAACTATTTAAAAAGGAAAGCAGAGCCTGACACTTCACCAACAGGTTTCTTTAAAATAGCTGAATTTGGGCGCCCCGGCGGCTCGCCTGGTGGAGCGCATACTACAAAGGCTCAGTCCTAACTGCAGTGGCCCAGGTTCGACTCCGACCTGTGGCCCTTGATTGCATGTCATCCTCTCTCTCTCTCCCTGACTTTCCTGTCTCTCTCTCACTACAACTGTTAGAATAAAGGCAAAAAATAACTTAAAAAAAAATAGCTGAATCTATGAGTTACTTTCTGTCACCTCGATCTATTGTAGTGATGAGATTCCTCTCCGAGAGCATGTGTATCATATAAGCTTAGCGTGTCCTGATCACAGGGCAAAGGTTATAAATATATTCTAAAAATAGGTACAGATATCCTGCGTTGCTGTCACGGATGGTGGAGTTACTAATGTCAGTATATTATATATTTATGTGGCTGTTCAGTACAGACACCTGTTAAATGACTCTTTCCTGCAGAATCAATAGATTTAATCTTTGCCTCAAAGATGCTCGCAGATTCATGAATTACAAGTCTGTGGACAGAGAAGAGTGTCTCCTAATCTATGAAATATTTGCTGTTGGTTTGTTGGCCCTGCTCTGGCCCTTTTCATGTATTTTATGGCAGCAGATAGAACTAAATACAATGTATTCTCATACATAATGTTGGGAACTGTTGGCTAAGGAATAATAATGTGCAAACATATGTCCAGTTCACCGCTGTGTGCTGCGATCTCTGCCTGCCTGTCGAGACCATGGGGAACAGTCTCAACACTCCTGGCACTTGTTCCTCTCCCAGCCCGGTCTGGGCGTAGCGTTCACTTTGTACTTGGCCGGCTGGAGGACCACGCCAAACTTGCCGTCAAGGCTGGGCAGAGCGTGGCCTGGTGGGACTGAGAGGGTGAAGTGCTGTAAGATCCAGGACAGGAAGAGGAAGAGCTCCATCTTGGCCAAGGCCTCGCCCAGACACACCCTGACCCCCACACCAAACGGCAGGTAGCTGGACGACGGGATGACCAGACCCGTGCCGTCACTGTTCAAGAACCGACCTGCAGAGGATGAAGATAAGGATCTGAATCAACACACACAAGATAAAGTATAAACCTCATATGCAGAGTTCAGATGATGTTCTGATCAGATTTGATCCTCATTCGAGAAACACTTAAAATCTGAAATTTTTAAGAAACAAAAATATAGGAACTCTGAGTTCCACTGTGTAACAGTCAAGCAACAGCGCTATAATTTAAAGGTCCATACAGTCTAAAGGTAGATGTCCATGTGTTGTTTGATTATAGATCAGGTCTAGGTTCTGTATTAATACTGTGAAAGTATCAAAGCCTCAGTCCACAGAGAAATGCACACAGCCTGTATTCAGAAACTGAGCCTTAAAACCAGCCGTCAGGACTTCTGGAACTTTGTGATGTCACAACAAATCAGTCACCGCTCTCAGCTATGCCCCAAGCCCCGCCCACCTGGACCCATCATCCAACCTTGCAGGATTTTGGTTTCTCTGAGTGGTTTTTCAGTCTTTATTTTTATGAAATGGTCTTACATGTATAAGACTCATCTATGAGCAACATTAAGACTGACCTAACACCACAGACCAGTCTGAAATATCTCTGTGAAACCAGCCCGGAATAGCAACTGGCTCAAAAAGCCTATTGGTTCCATAAATGACTCCACACCTCAGTGGATCCTTTTCCAGGATATAACATGGCACAGTGCTGAAGTTTCCTCTCACCGGGGTCAAAGAGCTCAGGGTTTTTCCATTCCTTCTCGTCGTGGTGCAGAGACCACATGTTGATGATGACTCGAGTCCCTTTCCTCACAGTGAAGTCCCCGATGCTACGGAGCAGCACAGAGACACAGAGGAGCTTACAGGAAGTCATGGGTCAGCCCTGTGTATTCAGCGCAACGTGACTGTTACTGTACTGATCGATTATGTAATGGCTGCACTGTCTCCATCCTGTGTACCTGGTGTCAGTGAGGGCCACATGGGGGATGAGCAGAGGGGCCACAGGGCGGATCCGTAACACCTCCCTGATGGTGGCCTCCAGGTAGGGCAGATTCCCTCTGTCGCTGAGCTGTGGGGACCGCCCTGCCCCCACCTTACTGTCCAGCTCGTCCTGGATACGTTTCTGCATCTACACACACACACACACACACACACACACACACACACACACACACACACCGTCAGAAAGATCCATTTTCAGCACCAGGGATGTATTTTACTTTAAAGAACATGTGTTTCTGTCTTATCTGTCAGGGTGAGGTCTTTGGTTTTTGTCCGAATTTTACATGTTTTTTAAAAAATATTATTTTTGTGGTGTTTTCAACCTTTATTAGATAGTGGGCAGGCAGTAAATCGGGGGGGGGGGCATGTTGCAAAGGTTCATGTTGACAGTTCAGTTATGTGGTATGCACATGATACAATACAGCTATTTAGGGCGCCCTGTATGAAATTCACACTTCATACACACAAACGTCTCTAATATAATCTCCATAGTTTGTATCAGTTTTATACCAGTTTGTTCCATGAGATACAACCACCGTAGACATTTTGTGGTGACATGTACTGCTCCTTATCATCTCTTAAATCTCTTGAATTATTTACAAAACCAAGACTACTCAGAGCATCACGAAATGACTTTCCCCTGTGATTTTCTATAGAGTCAGAGCAGCATCTAGTGGACTCCAGAGGAACTGGAGCTTCAGGCACTTCAGAGCAAGCATCAACCTCTGAGGCTGAAAAATGGAGGCAACATAGAAGTACCAAGTATTGCACTTGTTTGAATGGCTGCTTGAGTCTGGCTCCAACAGTGAGTCAGTCTCCACAGACTCCCATGTTAAAATGTCCAACTTTACAGCAGAAATAAACATGTTTACAGCCTGGTACAAAAACAGTTTTGTTCTCTAGAGCTAATTTCCTCCTTCATGACACCTGTTTATATAACTCACCTGTTTACATTTTATTAAGGCTTAAAATTATGTAGAATTGAGGGCGTGGCCTCTTCGAGTGACAGGTGGGTGAGCGTATGCTCGCTACAAACCGACATGCACCAAAGTCACCTTTATTTACAGTCTATGCTTGAGATTCACTTCTCCATGTTTGTAAAGTCAAAAATGCTAAAAACTGAAAACCTAAATCTGAGCAACTGAGAACATTAAACCATCGAGACAGAGTGTCAAGTCTGTGGGTGATGAGACAGAGGAACACAGCAGAAGTCTGTCACAGGTGTCTATTCAGTCATAAATTGTAGCTGGATCGCTGAATGAAACCATCATAACCCTTTACACCCAAGGTAGACCACCCTGCCTGTCGTGCACCCTGCTGCTCTCCCTGCCTCACCTGTGGGTGATGAATGAGGTAGATGACGGCCCACTTCAGCACAGTGGTGGTGGTTTCCACTCCGGCTCCAAAGATGTCTCCCACAGTCATGAGGAGGTGGTCTTCGCTGAGCCCTACGGATTCCGCACTGACCTCTGCTGTGTTGTTGTTCTCGGCGCTGCGTTTGGCTCTCAGCAGAGCGTCCAGCAGGTCTCTCTGCACGTGGTCGCTGTAATCTGCCTGGGAGGGGGCACCATGTCAGTGTACAGTTCACACACTCAGACACTCAGATCAACTCAGAGGAACAGACACTCTGAAGTATGTCAGTATGTATCACTATAATGATCCTTTGGAGCAAGCACAGGGACAGTAGAGGAAGCGTATGTTGAGACGGATTCACTGACTGGATTATGAACCATGATGGCCAGTGTTGGATGTAAGCTTTATGTCTACATGAGGGAAAAGAATCTTGTACTACAAAGTAATTTGAATTAACAGAACACCGTCTCCAGTTGCCCTGTAGTCACTGATAAATTATAAACCAGTAGTCATTTGCCAGCTGTAGTATATAAATCCTTGGCTCTTAACCATCTCCGCTTCCTTGATTACAGCACAGGACGTTACAGTATTATCAGGAAGAGGAGAGTGTACCTTATGTTCATCATATTTCTTCTGTAGGAGTTCGTCTCTGGTTGAAACACACTGCTTTAGAAGACGCAGGTCTGCATTGGGAAATATCTGTGACAGACAAAGAGACAGACACTGATTAGGTTTTTACTTTACAGACAGTATGATAAGGTATATAATTAGTGTATATGTGGCCTGCTGTATTTGTCTGTAGACATTTTATAATGAATATGCTTCCCAATCTTTTCCAACTCATGGCCCACTGGAAAATGTCAAAAATGTTGGTGGTGCTCATCTGAACCCAAAACAACATGGAGGCCAAATAAAATGTTTCAGTCTAATGATGATGATCAAACATTCAGGACTGAACTGAAAGCAGGGAAACATGCAGGAAGCTCAGTTTTTCCTTTCTGTTTGATGGGGAGAGATCACTTGTCGATTCACCGTCTGTCTCTTTACTCTTCCATTTTAACTCTTCCTGTTGCTCACCGCCAATCCATTTGCTACTCCAGTTTTTGCCATGGATTTCATCTTTTAGTGAACAATCAGACTGACTGTACTGTTTTGCAAATTATTTTACAGCCAATACCTTCGCAGCCCACCAGTGGGCCATGGCTGACAGGTGCTTTTTCAACATGAACAAATAAGTTCATTTGGAATCAGTAAAACTGCTGTGAAGAAACAAGACACTTCATTTAACACTGCTGTGTACTCACTGGTCCACAATGACACAGAGTCTGGTTTTTACTGGCACAAAGCAAATATCCATAGCAAGTAAATCTATAATTAAAACTATGCTGATAAAACGTACTGATGTTTAAAAACGCTCATGATGCACCTTTGATTATGTTCCTGTAAGTCTCCTGTGTGCTCCTGTCCTCCTCACAGGAGGAGCTGCCAGCTTTAGAATAGATTTTAAGATCCTTTCCTCAGTTTTCAAATCATTCAAGGGACAAATGCCTGAATAATGAATCCATGCTTTAAGGTATAGACTCAGATCCTCTGGGCCTGCCCGTTTAGTGCTTCATAGAGTGAGGACAAAAACATTCAGCAGTTATGCCCCTCGCCTGTGGAACTTACTCTGGAAAGAAATCTAAAGACCTATGTTTTTAGCTTAGCTTTCACTGAGACCTATTTATTTATCTGTTTATTCTGTCCTTTGTCAATGATTTTACTGCTTCAACCATGTCTTTTGGTCATGTTTCTGTTACGCACTTTGCATTGCAGTCTTTGCACGAAAGGTGCTATATAAATAAAGCTTGATTTTGATTTGAATTGATTTGATTGTTGTTTAGTGCCTCATTTCCCACATTCACACTGTGCTCTAGTAGTTTCTCCTCAGTGTTCATGTGGTCTACCTGTAACCAGGGGAAGATGTCCACCAGGCTGTCCTTTGCCACAGTGTCCACGATGCCCTGGCTGTAGCTTAGCATGGCCTCAAACTCAGGGTCTCCACGGCGGTAGGAGGAGTTGAAGCAGAGCGCGCAGATGACGTTGGTGACAGCCCGAGTCAGCTCAGGGGACAGATCCAGGGAGAGTCCAGCAGCTGCTGCCTCAGACAGGACGGAGCACAGAGACTGGGCCTCTGCACAGACTGAGCAGGACACAAGAGACAGACCATCATCACTCTCTGACAAGTTTACAATATGTCTTGATATTCAGTCATTCTTACTGCGTGTGTCCGGTCCTGATATCTTATTCCTCTGAGACACAGAGCTGCATTGTTGCCAAAAACTATTAAAACACACCAGTGAACCACACTGTTGCACTGGGTGACATGTTCCTCCATCACCATGAACACACACACTGTAGTTTATTTTGACTCAGTCCCTCACACACACACACACACACACACACACACACACACACACACACACACACACACACACACACACACACACACACACACACACCATCCTGCTGCCCCAAATACTCATTGTGGCCCCTAATGTGGATTAATGATAGTCCTCAACAAATGCACTGTTTCCTCATGTTTGGCTGTTGTTTTAGGAAATGCCTGAACTCTTTTTAAAGATGAAACTATATATTTGTGAAGTGTTTTCAAAGATTGATGTCTTCAGTAGGAACCAATGAGCTTGGAGCTGAGAGGAGGGTAGTCAGAAAACAGTGAGTGAAACACGTTTGAGACACGGACATTAATGAAAATCATCAAAACTGAAATACCACCAGGCTTCTGTTTTAAGTCGTAACACTCCACTCACCCATGAGAGAGTAAAAGTGAAGGAGTCCCGCACATTAAATCCAAGATGGAGTAGCATATAAAATTGAGCAGTTTACATTGCGGATTGATTTCAAAATTCTACTCATCACATTCAAAGCATTAAACAACCTCGCTCCAAATTAAATCAAGGACTTATTATCGCCTATGTTCCTGCGTCTGCTTAGATCGGTGGAGGGAGCTCTGCTGGTTATTCCTGCAGCCTCCTTCCAATGCTAGAAACAATGGTAGAAGAAGTACTCAGATCTTTACCTCAAAGTAAAAAGACTCCATTACAAGTCAATGTCCTATAATTCCCAAGTCAAAGGACAGAAGTCTGTGCAGCAAAATGTACTCAACATCAAAAGTAAAAGTACACCTGTCAGTGTGATGTCATGTGACTGGATTATTACAGATGCTTTTGATGTTGCAGCTGGTTACAGTAATTTTAACGACTTCATATACTGTTGGGCAGTTTAATGTACAGTATAACAAAGCATCATATTTTATGAACTGATCATTACTTTGTTGTAAAACTAATCTTCAAAGTAAACTGTAACTGCTGTCAAAGAAATGTTAATGTAAAAAGTTAAATATTTGTCTCTGATACATTGTGGTGTAGAAGTATAAAGTAATAGAAAATAAAAGTACTTCAGTAAAGTACAAGTATCTTCAAATTGTACTTGACAGTACTTGAGTATTTGTACTTAGTTGCTTTCCATTACTGGCTATCAAATGGATGCAAGGAGGTGGAGGGACTTTCATGGGTTTTATGGACATCTGCACCATCAACACGTACTTCACCTAATGAAACACTTTTTGTAGCATGTGAGCACTGATAAATAAAGAAAACAACATAGGAACAACTCAACTGATATGAATTGAGTTTACACTGGTACAAACTGTCTCCAGGAGATAACCACGTCCTCCTTCTCTAAAATCAAACACTGATAAAAAAAAAGCTTTCACCGTCATCCGCCTGCTCAGCTTTTAGGTGTCACCAGACTAACTGTCAGACAGTCAAGTGAAAGCATTCCAACCTTAAACAGTGTTACAGTGATATTCCAGATATGCTGCTCATGTGTTCCGACATTTCAATCTGATCTTTGTGGAGGAATCTCACTGTTTCTGCTTCACAGCTCCAGGCTCATGTTGCGTTCTTCCTTTCACACTTTCATATTTTGGTTTTGGAAAGAAATCTTAGAACCTGAACAAATAAAACTAAAACTATCTGCATGGAGAGAGAAGAGAGAACATCTGTTCTGCAATTTGGTTGAACTGACCCTTTATTACCTGATCAGCTGTGAATCTGATTTAGACAGAACTTCCAATATTCATCATAAATAGAGTTTATAAAGTCTGTTTACCAAAGCAGTCTCAAGTAAGACATGTCATGGAGCAGCCTAAACAGAATTTACAAGTTTGAGGAATCATTTTGGAGGAGTGTAGTGACGTGTACTCACTGATCTTCTCGATGGAGGCTGAGCCCTCTCCAAACATGCACAGAGCTCCGTGGACTATTTTCCTGTGGAACCTCCAAGTCGCACTGTAGTCTCCAAATGCAATGTCTTTCCCATCTCTGGTCAGAATGTCTGTGGTCACCTTCATCACACAGGACAGGGATTGAAAAGGAGAAAACATAAATGACGACTGCTGCTGCTGAGAAGAAGAAGAAGAAGACATTGGAGAAGAGGTATACCCACAGTTCTGGGTCTTCCTGCGAATGTCTTTCCCTTCTTAAGCAGCACTTCTTTGGCGTCTTTGTGCTGGTTGACGATGATGACAGTGTGGGAGCCCATCATCAAAGAGTATGTCTGCCCATACTTCCTCTGCAGTTCTTTGAAAAGCACATGAGGAGGGTGTGGACTTCGCAAACTCAGCAGACTGCCGATCAGGGGTAGTGCTGGGAGGCAGGGGGGCTCCTGGAGGCCACACAGAGATACTCTGAGCTTTAACTGCTGCACTGCTAACAAGGCCAGAGTCACGACCAAAAATGTACACAGACACAGAAGCCAAGCCATATCTGCAGCAGAGGGCCCAGACAGAGCGGTGTGGTTCAGCAGGAGGCCAAACATCACAGAGAGGAGCTGTGCAGGACGGTCCTGAGCTGCTGCAGGGAAATGCTTTTATGCTGCTCCTTCAATGCCACATCCTTGACTCTGATAATGTAAGGCGGTGCTAATTTAAACAAGATAAGACGACACATGATTTATTGAATCCTTGGAAAAAAACACAACAAAACATATCCACATTACACTGTGGATAGTAACTAATTACATTGCTGTGTTGTAGTACAAGTTTGAGCTACTCGTACTTTACTGGAGTATTCAGTTTTCTGGAACATAACATTTCTACTCCAGCTACATTTAACTGGCAGCAGTGGTTAATGCTTTCTATGAAAATTTCATAGAAAGCACATAATCACTTCAGAAAATATGATACACTGATATAACTTCTTCAGCTACCCAACAGTTGCACAAGAGTAATGCAGACAACATGACATGGGCTGTTTTGCTGTATTATATAATATTTTACAGTATTACTACTTTTACTTAAAGTGCAGCATCAAGTGAACTGTTGAATTCAGGTATTTTACTTGTAGTAGAGTATTTGCTACACTGTGGTATTTATGGTGGTTCTTGCCGTACAGTTCAGTTAAAGGTCCCATACAGTCTAAAGGTCTCTGTCCATGTGTTGTTTGATTATAAAGCAGGTCTAGGTTCTATATTAATACTGTGAAAGTATCAAAGCCTCAGTCCACAGAGAAATGCACACAGCCTGTGTTCACAAACTGAGCCTTAAAACCAGCCGTCGGGACTTCTGTAACTTTGTGATGTCACACTGAAACAGTAACTACCCTCAGCCATGCCCCTGCACAGCCTACCTGGACCCAGCATCCAACCTTGGAGGATTTGGTTTCTCTAAGTGTACTGGTTTTACTTGAAATCTGCTACATTTTTATCAGGTCAGCTAAGTTCCGGAGAGAAACCCAAAATAGTAAATGCAGAACTATATTGAGATGGTATGGCGGTAAACCATCAGAGAAGTCTAAATATGGGACCTTTAACTATCATTATTGTTCTGTTGTGTGTCGTTCTTTTGTTCTCTAGAGCATCACATTATTTGCAAAAATACTGTGCATAGTTTACATAGACATAGTTCATTCTTTGACAGTTGTCTAGCTATCGTTAAGTACAAACAGATGTATTATAACACTGCATCAGTGAGATGAATCAAACAAATGTCATGTACAAGACCTACTAAAACATTACTCTGCCAATTTACAGTTGCTGTTACAAAATATATCGCCTTTGATAATGACATCACAACCGAAAGTAGACTTCGTGTTTTTAGTTTACAGAATTATGAATTTTTTCAGCCAGTGAACGAATATTATTTTAGTCGAGTTTTATCGACTTCGTTGCTGTTTATTTTTGACCCTGCACCCGCCACCGTCGCAAACCAAACAGAAAATGCTCGTCAAGCTGAGCCCAAGCCGACGGTTCGGCCGTCGGTCAAGGTGCGCATTATATCCGACAGGTGGGCCCTGTACGGTTATCGTGATCCACTGATCCCGCCAGGTTCTGACAAAGGATCCTCGCAGTTCAGGAGGCTAAAGCGACACGAGCGGTTTCTATCATGACAGCATTCCTCACGACGATAGATACACTGAGAGAACAAACACCACCAGAGCAGCCTGTATTCAAAATCAAAAGCATCTATAGATCACACTTTGCCGGCCCGTGCTATTTGAATTTTGAACTAGTGGAGCTCATGGTTTATTTCGTTTGACTTGATTACAGCGCAATACAGGCTAAATGGTGATTTCCTCCACTCTGGTGCACTGCTAATGTATAGCTAATATGTACATTATAACAGTTATTACGTTATTTACGAATGTGAAGATAACTCGTTTCATGCTTGCCCGTAGCAAATGCTAAACTCAATACCAGGGCTAGTCTGTAAGATGCGGAAGTGACATGCGCCTAAACACAAGTCTCTCTAGCTCTCGGTTTCAACTGTTATTCTTTTTATTTGTTGAGGCTTTCAAGCAAAAAAATTCGCCGAGATCCTGGGCCAGCCCTCTCACTGAACGGGGATCTTCATGTGCAGAGCTTTGTAAGTTGGACACTAAATTATAAAACCAAACAGCGAAAATCATCTAGTCAGATTGTTATAATGTACAACATATCATAATTGACACCCACATTGTTACTAATGGTCTCATTTCAGCTTCTTCGTCAAGCGCAAGAAACATTCATCCAGGAGTCCCATCCGACGCCATCCCTCACGGTCTGAGGATGTGATATATGGAACATGCGTGCATCAGTGAAGCCCTGTACAGGTGAGTGAATACTCGAAGTCCACTCAGTACAGAGGAGAATGACAACAGTAACCACACGCTACAGAAAGTCCAAAGCTAAATCCTACCAGGTCTCTAAGGCAAATTCGTCCTTTTCTAGTCTGTATTGAACCCACTCGTGCTTTCACCCAATTACCCACACACTCTCTTCCTACACATATAGCCACTTTCTTACCATACACACAGTCACTACACTGCTGATCACATCTGGGCGGGTCAGTTGTGTCAGTATTCTTGCTCAAGGACACTTTCAAAAGCAGAACTTGCGGACCGCCGAGGAATCGACCGCTGACCTTCCTATCTTCGTGAACCAACCCTGAACAGGTTCCACAAAAGGTGAAATTGTATACTACTCAGTACTCTCTCATCTGGCGCTTGTACAGTTTCAGTAAGGTGAGTGTAAAAATTGATCGCTCTTGTTTGTCTATCCACTATGAGAATCAACATCATTAATCTTATTGTCTTCCAGAGTCTGAGTAAAATGTCCATATAATCTAACATGCACTGTACATACTAGTTACCAGTGAGTATCAGTTCAGCTGATTAGCACTACACATATGTGACAACTCATTGCTTCTTGTTTCTAACTGAACTTATTTACTCGATTGTCTGTCTGCCGTGCTGTCTGTCTGTCTGTCTGTCTGATGACTGTTCGTCGTCTTGTCTGTCTTGTACACTAAGGACAGGGTGACCAGCCATTCAGAAGAAGTTAATCTAAACACTTCCCTGCTTTAGTGACAGACAGACAGACAGACAGACAGACAGACAGACAAGACAGACAGACAAGACAGACAGACAAGTAGCACATTCTGAGTCAATATCATTCTTCAGTTGAAACCAAAAGCCAATGAGTTCACATATCCTAGTGTACGGATAATCGAGCTGACTGACTACATCCACTTAGGTACTGTAAATGCGGTGTGAATAGTGGACATTACTTCAACTCTCGGCAAGACTATGAAGTAAATGACTGTGTGAATTTCTAGCGTGGATTAGACTAAAACAAGAGAGACGATCAATTTACCTCTACTTTCTTACTTGAACTGTCATCATTAGCGCTCAGTGACAGATGACTGAGTAGTATTAATTCACCTTTGCTGGACCTGCGTTCAGTCCTTTTGGTTACTCAATAGGAAGCAGCGGATTCGTATGTTCCCGCTCCGCACAGCGTCTGACTTTTCGTGAATGTCTTGAGGCAACGATACTGACACGAACTGCCGCCATGTGCTAATCAGCAGTGTGATGACTGTGTGGTCACGTGTACGCTAATAGTGCTGACTATTGTTAGGTAATAGAGGCGATGGCTCGTGCGGTAATTGGCGTGAAACTACACGATCGTGGTCAATCAAGGACTAGAAAAGACCATTTGCCTTAGAGACCTGTGATTTTAACGTTGACTTTCTGTAGCGCTGTTCGCGTACTGTTGTCTTCCTACCATCTGTCTAGCTGAATATGGGACTCTAGTATTCCTACTGTTACAGCTTCATGATGACACATTTCACCTAACTCACATCCTCAGAGTGCAGGCATGGCGTCCTCCTGAGTCATACCATGTTTCTTGCTGCTTGACCAAGAACTGAAAGAGACATTTATAACAATGGCTCGTGCGCAATTAATGATTTTTTACTATTATCAATCTGACTGAATGATTTTTCTTGTTTGGTTTATCAACTAGTGTCCAAACTCAAAAGCTCTTCACATGAAGATCCTCTCAGTGAGAGGCTGGCCCAGGAAATCTCGCGCGATTTTTGCTTGATAAAGCCTCAACAAATAAAAGAATAACAGTTTGAAACAGGAGCTAAGAAGCACTTGTGTTAGGGCAGTGCCACTCCACTCTTCAGCACTGTTTTTCGGTTTGCACTTATCTACCAACGCTAACGTTCATCTCACTTTAATAACGTAACTAACTGTTTAATCATTTTAGCTACATTAACAGTCCCAGTAACAGACAATCCTGTTAGCCCTGTATTCGCTTTAATCAAGTCAACGAAAAATAATACCATGAAGCTCCACTTTCAAAATTAAATCGCCACGGGAGTCCGTGCAAAGTGTGTTATCGATGCTTTTATTTTGAATACAGCTGCTCTTGTGCGGTGTTTATTCTCCCTATCTATCTCTGTGAGGAAGCTGTCATGATAAAAACCGCTCGTCTCTCTCCTTATATCCGTGACTCGGGATCCTTTCAGAACCTGGCGGCGTCAGTGCGATCACATCCCCGCTACAGGAGCCCACCTTGTCGATATTAACCTTTGACAGACTGGCCGAACCGCGGCTGGCGCTCAGCTGACGCCATTTTACTGTTTGTTTTACGCACGGTGCGCGGCGAGGTCAACAAATAAACAGCAACGAGTCCGATAAACTCGCACTAAAAATATTTCGTTTCACTGCAAAACAATTCATAATTCTGTTAAAACTAAAAACAACGAATCTACTTTCGGTGTATGTCATTATCACAAGCATATATGTAAAACAGGCTAAAACTGTAAATTAGCAGAGTTAATGTTTAAGTTCCTTGTCCATAGATTTGTTTTGATTCATCATCACTGATGACAGCTGTTATAAATCACTCTGTTTTACTTACGACTAGACAACTGTCAAAGAATGAACTATGTCTATGTAAACTATGCCACAGTATTTTTGCAAATAATGTGATGTCTC